TCGTGATCTCATCACAGATACTCAAGAGATACCTATTCTGCTCCAAGGGGTTTATCTAGTTACTCATATAATATATTAACAATGATATCGAGACAAAATATGAAACAGGATAAAGAGTGCTTATGATTTATTTGCGACAATATAAAAGGTACACATATGTACTAATCTAATCAAAAGATTGTCTCTAGGATATCCATATACTAACACTACCATGGTGGGATGGTGAAGTGGTGAAGAAAGGTGAAGTCATGGGCTTGGTTTCATGGAACTATGGAGGTGATCATATGGCATCCATGAGAGAAAATAAAGAAGGGGGAGTGTAGGTTTTGCTATTTTGGGGTAGACTCACTTAATTCCACCGATATAGACTCATACACCACACTCACTTCTCTATTAATTTCGAATTAAAATGTCTTATCGATTTTATGAAACCATAATCACGAATTCATTTTAAGTTTCGGGTATTTTTGTCGGTACACATTTTTATTGCGAAATACACAATATTTACACTTTTCCCCGAAAAATGATTTAATTTAAATAGTTTTAAATTCTCTCTAATTATCCCATTTGAATTGTGGAATATTTTTCTAAAATCATAATTTACTATTAAATTACTAAAATTTCAATTTAACAGTGGGAGTTCTTACACTTGGCACCAAAGTGGGCAAACTTTGTGACTCGATCATTGACAACAAGAATTACATTGAACCTTTTAGATAGAGGCAATCCAGTAATGAAATCCATGCTGAGATCATCAAAAACTCCCTCAGGTATTGGAAGGGGTTGCAGCAGTCCTAATAGGGGAGAAGCGGCAGTCTTTATCAACTAATAGGTGTGGCAACCTTTAACAAAATCATTAACGTCCTTCATAATGCTATGCCAATAAAAGAATGTTGTTATTCTCAGCAATGCGCGAGTGATGCCAACATGCCCTCAACAGGAGTGGAATGGTGTAAGAACCTACATCGTTAAATTAGAATTTTAATAATTTAATTATGATTCTAGGAAATTATTCCATAATTAAAATAGAGTAATTAGAGAGAAATTATAATATTAATATTAAACCATTTTTGGAAGAAAAGTATAAATACTATGTATTTTGCGGTAAAAATATATATCGAAGAAATAACCTGAATTATATAAATAATTAATGAATATTACTAGAAAATATATTAAGTCAGTAATATAAAGTTTGAGAGAAAGATGAGTGTCCGAGATATTAAAACTTATACCGGTGGATTAAGTGAGCAATGCCTAAAATAACTAAAACCCTTATTTTTCCTTATTTCTTCATACTATCCGCGCATAACACACTCCTCCGCACTTAGGTTTTTCTCTCTTTTTCCTCTCCAAGCAAACTTGAGCTTTCCTCCATGAAAACCAAGCAAGATGACATATTTCTTCATCCTTTCACCATTCAACTCTTGTAAACATTTGGAAGCTAGCATATTGGGGGAGAAAAACTGAGTCTTTGAAGGCCCAAGGTGCTGCCTTGGAGGTGTAAGGGTGCTATCCATTTGGGTTGGGAAGTAGAACATCACTACACCTTGTTTGGAGACTTTTGTGGAGAAAAAACCACCATTGTCAAGTCATTTTCATGCTACTTGTTGGATAGAAGTGGAGAATGGGGTAGAGACCTCTAAGATCAATTATTTTCTCTATTTTGGAAGCCTTTGGTATATACCTCACCTTTCCTCCATGAATTTCTATGAAAAGATTCAGTGTTGGACATGTAAAATGAGGAAACTAAGTAACTTAGGTGAAAACTAGCATGAACAAACATAAAAATGGTAGCTTGGACCTCTCTGTTGTGGAAGAATGGAACCTTGATGGATATCTTCTCTTAGAAGGCAAAACTGCACTTTTGTCGTTAAATATCCGGATATGGACTCGAGCAATTCAAGGAGTTTTATGTTGTATTGTTTTGATATAACTCCAATATCCGGATATTCATTGAAGGCATATCAATATCCGAATATGCCCTCGATGAATATCTGGATGCTATATTTCTCGGACAGAAGAACCCTTTGTAATGGTATAGGACCCTTAATTGAATAGTAGGGACCCTTATAAAATGAGTATAACCTAAAGGATTGAGTGCTTGTAGCTTTGGAAAAAGCCTTAAGCGGGAAAATGGAAAACGGATAGAGTTTCTATAGGCATGAAAGACTAGAACATATCTATTGACTGGCATTACATTCTGAAAATAGGTTGAGATACTGTTGGATACCACTTTGGTGATCTCTCAGACACCGAGTTATTGTTGGAGGACTTTAGCTGCAACATGTAAGCTTTCAGTTCTCAGTGTTAATCCCTTGTCTGTTCCACCAAACTCCATGAAAGGTTGGTTATGTATATATATTTTGTATGCATGTTGGCATGTTACCATCCTAGGTGGTGTCCCTGAGGGTAGTTTCCCAAGATTGGGAACGCCTAGCGTGGGGTATCGGGGGAATCCCGATACTTGTATGTAGCAAGATGTTGTGTAAATCATACGATATGTCTCTGGTCAGTAGGATTTATTATTTGCACACGCATGCAAGATACATGGTGATATATTATGATGTTTTGCACTGATGCATTGTTTTATGATAAATGACATTATTTTGTTATAATTATATTATTAAAGTGAACTTGGGGGTAGAGGAATCCTTCAAGAACCCCTTGTTTATTGAGACTGTTATCTTACCCCGTTTGTGGAACATTTTTCAGGTGCTGATATTCATTAGATGGGTACATATCGAGCCAAGAGGTCGGAGTAGAGATTTTAGCATGACATATGATTATATCTACCTGAGACATGATTATTATTTCTCATACTATGTATGTTATTTGATGTGAGCATAGGGGTTGTCTATACCACTATTAAATAATCTTGTTTATTGATGAGTTGAGATCATGTGTAAGTTACCCTATTGAGCATTGAGGTTGTCATTATTACTTGATGTAATGATATGACTGGTTATGTTAATTATTGATATGAGACTGGTTGTGTATTTATAATCGTGAGAGCCTATGCCAAAAAATGTTAGACAGGCTTAATTACCACAGGGTGATAATGGATTAGATAACAAGTAAGGATAATATCGATTAACTCCATTTGCTATACATAAGGAATTATATAAAGAAAAATTTTATTCACTAGATGATTGTGAGATTAATATATAATATGATAATCAGTATCCGTGTTTATTCATTTAAACTTGTTGCGCTTGTACCATTTGTATGATAATACACTGGCGGCTGACGAGGTGTTACATTTACGGTATCATAGTGAACTTTCTAGGGAAAATCCTTACGTATTGCAATTACTTGTGTTGTCTTATGAGTTTCTTTTAGGTTTTACTATGATAATGAATATGTGACCACTTAGTATGGGCCTGATTAACTCATTCATTTGTGAAACATGTGCAGAGTTATGGTGTAACACACTATGTACACCCAGTCTATTAAACATATAAATGGTAATAATAAGCGCAACTCAATATAAATGCGGAAGCTAAAAATTCCAATTAAGAACTTTATCATATTAACTCAATGAATCTTTTTCAAAAATCGCCCTTATGTAAATTGCAACAAATAACTAAATTGAATAACCTCATAACATAAATAAGGTATCAAGCCATGGAACTACAACACATAGACCAGACATATCCTGATACAATAATACAACACCAGTCTGAAATTAACACAGCATTCAAATGTGGCATGGACAACCCCTATGCTCACCAAATAAAGCAATATAATCAAATCATGTCTCAAGTACAATAGCCATAAAGATATAATAGCAAGGCAGAAATTATAATAAAATGGCAAGGTGCATGCATCATCTTAACTCAACTCCGGCCTCTTGCCACTAGAGGACTCAACCTGAGAAGTACCTATACCTAAAAATGTGCCCCACACGGGGTGAGATCTCTAACAAGAAATCTCAGTAAGGCAAGGGGTCTTCAAGGATCTCTCCACCCAAGCTCACTTACATGTGCGATATAAGTTTAAAAATGATACAATAGTAAAATGGCAAATATATATGCAATACAGCATATGTCCATGTCATGTGTGTATGTATCCTACTGGCAAGAGAACAAAATGTAGGCATTACATACGTCTACAACCCACAGTACAAGGAGTCCACCATGTACCTCACACACGGAGTTACCATCTTGCATGTGGCCCCACATGCTCAGGGATTACAGTCTCGTGTGGAATACCCCACATATATATATATATATATATATATATATATATATATATATATGGCAAATGCGCTATATCATAATCCAGTTCAACATCATATCCAATATTCATCATATAAACTGTAACATCCCGCATAATCAAGAGATTACATAACTTGCAATTAGGGATGTGAAGCATGATTTGGAATTCGAATTCAATATATGTTTAGAGTGGAATTAATTTAAGTTAGGAAAGGAATTTTAAATTGCAATCATAAGTGAGTACATATGTATATACCTTAGGAATTCGAAATCCTAGTTAAAAGAATGAGACTAATGTAATCATAACATATAAACATGTTAGTTAATACTTAGAAGGTACATGAGATAATAAGTAGTAAATGATGTGAGGTAAGGGTCATGAAGAGATAATTTTTGGACCCTATGACCCCTTTAGGGCATTGGCCCAAGCATCTAAATGGGGGTGTAAGTCAGCCCAAGAAATCCCTACACATGATCCTTTAGCTCATCCTAAACAAAATCCACATGTTAGTTGTTATTGGCCAAGAATCAACCACATGTCCATCCTTGTATCCCCTTTCATGCGCTAGGTGTAGAAGAAAAAGAAAAGAAAAATTCTAATTACTTGTATTAGTATCTAAAGAAATCAGCCTTGCCACCCCATGCAGCCAATAAGAAGAAAGTAATCTCCTTGCATGTTTCCCTATTGGTCCAGAGACAACCCTATCCATCTAATTTCCCCATCCTTGTGCGCTCCTTAATGAGAAATGTATTACATCTGAATTCTTGCAACCAATAAGTTAACTAAAGAAATCTGTATGAACACTTCATTATTGGCCTAGAGCAAACCCACTATCACCATTATCTTCCCTTGTACGTTGAAGGGAGGTGGAACAAAACCTGAGTGGCTGGACCTCGATTCAAACACTAGCCAATGTTATCATCTGCCCTCTTCTCTCCATGCACAAAGAAGAAGCACCAACACTGAAAAATGAATGCTTCTCATTCAACTCAGAACCAAACCCAGCCTTATCTTCCTTTTCAAGACCGCAAGCTAGCATCCATAGGGAAGGACTCACCACCTAGCTCACATGTTCCTTCCATTCTCCTCTCATTGTCAGCCGAACATCAAGCTCCATAGCTTGCATGTGCTTTATACTTCCTTCCTTCCTCCACAAGCTGTGAGTCACTTGAGGAGACAACAAAATATTTAAGTTTTGACCTATCTTTCCTTACATGCAAGAACAAGTGAGTATTTCCCCATCTTGTTCACACTTTGATTTCTGCACATGAGGGTATGTGTAGCCTATTCTCTTATTTTGTTCTCTGTTTCGACTTCTTGGGTGGTAGGAGTGTGAGAGTTATAGCGCAACTCTTGGTGGCTGTTCTCCTTAATCGATTGTGAAGCAATTGGGTACCTGCAAGATGGTACCAATCGTGAATCACCCCTCTACCTCACACTCACTGTTCGGTCTTAAAGGTATATTTTGGAGGAAGTATTTTTGTTATCTTTTTATTCCTTCCATTCTGTCTTGTGGAGAACAACATGATCTCCTAGTGCATGTAAGTCAAAACCGAATTTGGAGCTTGAAAGGTGGTTCCGCACCAATTTAGGGACTGCATCTTGAATTAGGGAAATTTTTAAGTCTTGTATGTATTTGTAATGGGAAGAGACAGCATGTTTTAAGCTTCATTAGCTCACCCTAAACCTTGTAGGTAGTGCTTGGTAAAGGATAAACTTGTAGCGCCTGGTAGATGGCACAAAACCGTATATGCATGTCTTAGAAACCTTGATTTTATCATTGTCAATGTTTGGTAAAATTAATATCGAGTTAGGAAAATTATGTAGGAAGGGAACCATGAACTCCGTTTTGAATTAAACCTTGCATGTGTTGAAACTGTATGGATAGCTTGCTAGAGACTTCGTTCACTCACACATAAGCTTTGTAGGAAATGTTATGTAGATAAATTAACTATGTGCACCTTGTCACTGGCGAAAACCGAACCTGCATGAGTACTAGGTCCTTGGGTATTTTTTTGTTACTTGCTAACAATTAGTAGGACAAAAAATTAAAGGCAGAAATATAATTGGCATTGGAAGCATGAAACTTGATTAAGTCCTAGGGTTAGGGAGCTTGGAAATTAATTGTAAATCCTAGGAAACAAAGATGGAAATTTTGACTTGGTACCCGTTGTATAGGTGCGCATAATTCCAAGAGAGTGGACTGAATTTTGGTCATACACTTGGTTAAAATAGTTGGACACACCGAGGTAAGTGTTCGGTGGATTACCCTTTCTGACTGTTAATTTAGTGCTTGGATTTCTGATTTGTTGCACATGTGTCACATTCTGATTTTGTTGGAAGGTAATGACAATTTGATTTGGAATATGAACTGTTGGAAATTCTGTTTGGATATACACTATGCTTCGAGTTTCTGTTGTCACAGTCAAGTAAATTATGATTCTCTGATGCTGATATTTAGTCATGCTCATGAACATCATCAAACTGCATTTTGTCATGCGTGTGCGAAGCAAAACATATCATAGCATACAACATTATGCATTCAGCTTTGGAAACCGAAGTATTTGATGAAAGTAAGCATATGTTTGAGCACGCATCATATAGGCATCCCTGAGGTACCAGGGAGAAGGAACCGTGGCTCAGTTCGCATAGGTCGCAGTTAAAATTCCCCTCTGATGGGCCAAATGGAATCTCCATTGTGTTAGTTAGTAGTACGTGCACTGTAGTGCTATGAACGTACCTTATTCTGGCGTTATATACACATTCTGATTAGTATTCTGGCGTTATATATGCATTCTGATTACATTTTAGTATCTGTTCAGAATTTACTTGATGATGTGACAATTTTGGAAATTCTGTATTTAAGTTAACATTGTTGCATTGCTAGATTTTCTGCCACACTACTGAGATTTTTCTCATCCCTTTTGGGGCTCAATTTTTATAAATTACAGGAGGACTCAGAAGCATTTGATGAAGTGTTTGTTTTAGACGTATTCTATTTGATTGCTGTTGTCTTGAGAATTCTGCTATTGTCCACTGTTTATGTTGATTACTTGCTGAATAATCCAAGTGGATGTAATATTTTGAGAAACTGGAAAAACATTGGAAAATGATCTTATTCTGCTGCATTTTGGATTTTTACATTCTGCCTAAAACTGATGTAATCCTGGTATTTAACTTACGAAAACAATTGCTATTGTATTTAAATTCGGATTTTTTAACTGATTTAGCGAGCACCTTGCGAGTTCCATTTCTGGGGCGACAGACCTCCGAATGATGTATAATTTATATGTACGTAAAGCCCCATATGTCTATTTTCATTTTATATAAAGTTTATGTCAAAAGCTTCTAAGCCCGATTTTATATAATTTTTGCAAGTCAAGTAGGTTTTCGAAAAATTGCACTGATTTAACGTGTATCTTGCGAGTTCTGTTTCCGGGGTTACAGAACTCCGAACGAACTATATTTTATATGTACATGAAGCCCCAGGAGTCTAATTTCTTTGTGTCAAAGAAACTTTTAGAAAACTCGTAAATTCAATTTTATTCGGATTTTTACAAGACAGACTGTTTTACATGAAAAATTCAATGTTCAGCTTCAGCGTTTTATGAAAATACTCACTGTCCCCTCCACGAAACCAGATTTCGATACAAGTTTTTATACATGATTTAAAAGTGTATTTTCAGATTTTAAAATAAGTAGCGTTGCGACTCTAATCCAATTTAGCAGACTTTTCCCTTGGATGCATACAGGGGAGGGTGTTACATAAACAGATATATTTTCAGAAAAAAAAACATCATGCATATAAATCATCCCTCCAAGAGGTATGGTGGAACCGTCAATAGGTAAAATCGAAGACACAGAAGCTTACCTGCAGTACCGAAGTCCTTTTCTAAAGGCTCGGTGTACACAGATACACCAACAGTCACACAATCCATAATTGAAATCTGTTTTATATCAAGAATATTATTAATAATCAGAATCCCAAATTTCATAGAAATTGAACAATGTTTTCTTTTTCGTTTAGCGTCTCATGTCCCTCCTAAAGCCATAATTATAGCATATTAACCATCTTTATTAATTGTATTACATTTCCAACAGTAACACTAATTCCCCAGGGTATCATACCCTAATTGGGGTTGCCCTACGCATCCGAATTGGTTTCTGGTCTTTTCTGATAGGGGGTAATCGATTACCATACATAGGGTAATCGATTACTCCACACGGTAATCGGTTACTATGTGTAAGGTAAGCGATTACCATGCGGACAGAACACGAAATCTGCAAATTTTTCTACATAATCTGCGGGTTTTATGGCTTCCTAGGGTCCAAGGTCGATTTCTCATCAAACAGAAGTTCAAACCACGTGATTGAACATAGATATACTATCTTTTACAGGAATCATTAAGGTTTTCCCTTTTTACTTCACAAAATAAGCCATTTTAGAGAGAATACAAGGGAAATGGTTTATAGTTGCCTATGGACCTTTGAAAACAGAAAAATAGGGAAGCTTTGAGGACTTTGAAGATGCTCCAAGCTACTGACTTGGTGGTGTACGAAAATCACCCTCAAAGGTAGGTCATTTCTTCACAAAGTTTGGTTCTTGAAGCTTCCTAGAGTGTAATAATGGTCCTCACACTCAAAACTGAAGTGGACAGCCCCTACTCTTATGCAAACAGAAGCTCAAACACTCAAGACATGATTTTTCTCCCACAAAACTCAAGCTTTACAAGGATTTATGATGATCATATGGCATACGAATAGAGAAACATGGATAAAGGTGGCTTCTTGGTTAGGTTTCATGAAAATCTCAAGTCTTCATAATGGGAGGTGGCAGCTATGAAGACCAGCCTTGGGGTCTGAAAACTGACCTCAGATTTTGTGTCATTATATATATATATATATATATATATATATATATATATATATATATATATATATATATATATATATATATATATATATAGGTGCACTCACTTAAACTAACAATATTAGCTTAATTAGTTCTGCTCTTCGTTTAACTCTAAAATTTTATATTCTTAACCTATACATTTTTCTAGGAATTATCACACTTTTATATTAATTTTTCGAGACACTTCACCGATACGCGTTTTATACATAGCCAATATTAGTTCTGACACCACTGCTTATTATTTTTACTCCAAACTTTATATTCTAACCTAGATATTTTTCTAGGAATAATTATATTTTTATTATAATTTTTTGAGTTACTTCGCTAGTGTCCATTTATACCGCGAAATACTCGGTGTTCACACTTTCTTTTAGATAAGTGACTTAATATTAATTATTATGCTCTTTCCATATTTATCCAAAGTCAATTATGTAATTATTTCCTCAACTCATAATTAAATTATTTAAATTTCAAATTTAGCGGTGCAGATTCTTACACTTCTTTTAAGAATTTTGTTCGCAAAATTAGAGACATACCTGTCCCTAAACTCGGGGTATAGCCGGAGAAGTTCGTCCTTCCGCTCCAAAGAACACTCCTCTGGAGTTCTTCCTTTCCATTGCACTTTGACAATGGGAATAATCTTGCTCGTTAGCTTTTTCACAGCACGATCAAGTATCCAAGTTCTCCTAAATTTCCACATCATCGAGTTGCACAATCTGTGAAGGATCCGCTATGTATCTCCTAGCTATGATACGTGAAACAAATCATGGATGTTGGTCAAGTTCGGAGGCAAGGCAAGCCGGGTAGGCAACAAGCCCTACCCTACCAAGTATTTGGTGTGGTCCCATGAATCTCGGGCTAAGCTTCCTCACTTCGAAGGAACGACCAACACCGGTGACAGGTGAAAGTTTCACAAACACGTGTTCATCCTCATTGAACTGCAATGGTCTATGCTTGTTGTCATTGTAACTCTTCTGATGATTCATTGCTTGCTTCAGCTTCTCTCTGATCATCTGGATCTGCTGGGTAGTATCTTGGACAAAGTCCAAACCAAATAACTAACGATCTATAACCTCAGACCAACAGGTAGGAGTTTTACACCCCTTACCATTTAGCGCCTCGTAGGGTGCCATGGCCAGGCTAGGATGAAAACTGTTATTGTACGAGAATCAACCAATGGTAGGTACCGAACCCATGTTGAGCCTTACTCCAAGGTGCAAGCCCTCAGCATGTGCTCTAAAATCGGATGGTTTGCTCAGTCTATCCGTCAGTCTGAGGATGATAGGTTGTACTCAATCCCAACTGAGTACCAAAAGCTCCCTACAGCGCCTCTGACATCACCTCCTACGTCAACGGACCCCTATGTACCACAATCCTGTTCCAAAACAATCCCTAATCGTTTCAAGACACACCATCTTGGTTCTTCACATAAACAAGGCATTCTCTTTGCACTTGCGCCTCTTTGATCTTATCTATTAACTCATTCTTTACTCTCACAGTTTCCATCTCCAGAAGTGCACACCCAAACAAAGAGGTCACTGTCAAGTCACAAAATTTTTCAATCATATCAAAATCATAAATCATTAAGCTGGATATAGGGGTGTAATAGGTTAGGCTTCGACGTAAATAGGCCAAGCCTATGTAAAAAACATTTGGTATGGCCTAGCCTATTAGCATGTGTAGGCTCCAAATTACAAGTCTGACCTGACCTATATTTAAAACATAAAATCCTTAGCCTAGGCCCGTTAGCTTGTTTAAGCCAATTAAACATTCAACAATTAAAAGAATAGCTAAAATAATATTATTTTATTATTCAAAATTAATAAATAATATTATTATTTATTACATTTTAAATAAATAATATGATATAGACCGGCCTGTAAGGCTTATAGGCCCGACATGTACAAAAAAGCCTATGGCCTAGGCCTATTCTATTTTACTACTTATAATAGGTCAAGTCTGGCCTAATATAGGCTAGGCCATAGGTCCCTGTAGGCCGACCTAACGTATTTACACCCCTAGCTGGATAGACTAACAGATTTCTGACTCAAAGCATCAACTACCACATTGGCCTTGCCTGGGTGGTACTTCAACTCGAAGTCGTAATCCTTAAGAAATTCCATCCATCTTCACTATCTCATGTTCAGCTCCTTCTGGACAAAAAGATACTTCAAACTCTTATGATCATTGAACATCGCAAACTTCATTCTATGTAGATTGTGCCTACAAATCTTGAAGGCAAAAACAATAGCAACCAACTTCAGATCATGAGTCGGGTAGTTCTCCTCATGAGGCTTTAACTACCTCGAGGCATAAGCAACAACTGATGAGGACATAGGAGGTGGCATGACCAAGACAACAAACTTGGAGGACATACAAGGTCTTGGAGGTCCAATGACGAGAGAAAAAGCTAAAATGGCTAAAGAGGCTCTAAATCTCTTGGTGACCACTTTACTTGAGACAAACCCAAGTCTAAAGGAAGAAGAGCCCAAAATGATACACTTAATTCAAATTGAAGACTTTGAAGAATAAGCCTCAATGGATATGCATGAAGGCTTTATTTTTACTTGGCCCAAATTCTGCACTTAATTTTATTTTTCTTATATTCAGTTAAACTTTTGTAATAAGGCTTATTGGGCTGGATTATTGGGCTGTCTATTTTCTTTTATGTGTAAGCACTTTTAGGTTAAACTCAATATGGATGTTGCCCACTATATAAGGGAACACCATAGCTTTTGAAGAAAAGAATTCAGAATAAAAAGATAACCTTTTTTTGGTGAGAGACTAGCTTCTCTAGGATTCTTTTGAGAATCTCAGAACTTATCAAGGGTGTTAATCCTTGTGGCGTTCATAGGCTTATCAATCTTTGGATTGTGGCGCCTTCCAGTTATCGTTTCTTGATTGTGTTCACAAATTCTTGTATCAAACCCTATCACCCAAAACCTTCAATTTTCGTCCAAAATAGTCTCGGTTCATATCTGCTGATATACGCGTCATTTTTCAGTGATTCTTGAGTCAAAGTCGCGATTCAGAAAGAGATCTTTCACCTCGATTTGGAAACGTCCAATTCCGAGGTCTGTAGCGTGAGATACGCTCTGTTCTTAACAGGTCGTGTTGTGGATGAATTTAGGGTTAGAATTTCCATTCCTAGTAGATCCATTCCTCCATTCCTATTGGGGATCATATCATGTGGTAATCAGAGCTCAGTTCTAGGATTGGAATTGGGTTTGATTTTCTCCATTGTTTCCATCAATTCTGATCACACATTTGGTAACCTTAATCCCTAGTATTTGTGTTTTCAATCAAATTCAGTTTAGCATTACTGCAATCTGAATTTTTCATTCCAAAATTACAAATTCCATTTTATTGAAGCATCAGGTTTTATAA